GAAATTGGGTGAAGAGAAGGAAGCTCCAGGCAGGCTCACTCTTCCCCATTGTCCTGGGCACTTACTGAGGGTTTGCTGCGTGGCGGCTGCTGGACTCAGTCTGGTCCGCAGCTTAGCGCACACTAGATGCTCAGTCAGTGAAGTGGCTGATAAGAGGATGAACGCAGGAATGAAGTGCTCGTGGCCTCTGCCCGCAGCCGGCTCAGAGTCCAGCGAGGGGAACAGATTGTCAGCAGTGCAGTCGTGCATGGGCACTCAAAGTGTCAGTCACAGGCGAGGGAGAGAGCACAGGGGATTTAATTCTCTCCCGGGGAGGTGAGGGGTCAAGCAGGGCAGAATATGAATTTTTCAAGAACAAAAGATGTTGAAAAGGTAAAAATCACCCAGTAGGAAAGAAGACTCCTAACACCTGGATCCTGGTTTCTGAATACAGGTCCTACTAAAGGAAACCAGGAGTCTTTGAAAAGGCTAACTCCAGACCTAGGGCAGATAAAACACAGGGTGAGTCTGGGACAGCTCCTTGTGACAAGTGGGACAGTTTGAACATCCCAAAGAATAACGAATATGCCTCATGCAGAAAGCTTTTATTTTTTTATTATTTTTTTAATCCTCACCTGAAGATATTTTTTCCATGGCTTTTGAGAGAGAGAGAGAGGGAGAGAGAGAGAAACATCGATGTGAGAGAGAGGCATCGCCTGGTTGCCTCCCTCCTGCACATGCTCCGACCAGGGCCGGGAATCCAGCCTGCAACCGAGGCACGTGCCCTTGACTGGAATCGAACCTGAGATCCTTCGGTCTGAGGGCCGACGCTCTAACCACTGAGCAAACTGCCTAGGGCCAGAAAGGTTTTGAATTATTTCCTTAATTTTAGCTACCCAGAAATGGAATTCCTAGGTCTAGTGTATGATGATATAAGATAAAGCGCACACACTCACACGTACATACGTGCGTGCACATATATGTATAGGTGTGTATATCTGTGTGCGTGTGCTCCTCTTCCTAACCGGTTAGCCAGCATGCATGTAGGAGCTACTGCAGGAGCAGGCCTCCTCTCGTGCCAGCAAGGCCTGTGTTTTAATCAGCAGCATTGTTGCTGGAGAAGACGTGTCTGACCTGAACACGGTGGCGCTCAGCCTCCCCCCACATCACTCTGTGACATGGTGAAGCCTGCAGCCCATAAATAGCATGTGCAGTAACGACAAATCTGGTCTTTCAGGACCTTTCTTTCCATCCTGAGGTGTCATTAGGTTAATAGATAGTCTCTCAAACTGTCCATTTTTTTCTAGCTCTGATTTTAAATTACATTTGGAGGCTATGATTAGCTTCAGACCTTTACCTGGGGCTTGGTTGAATGCTGATGACTGAAATGGGACTTGGAACCCTCTGTGTGGAGAGATACGGGCGAGGAGCAGCATTTATCAGAATATGTCAGTAAACATCTTCCCCCTGCTGCCTTTATGACACCAAGTAAATGCTTTGCGACCGCTCAGGTGGCACAGGGAAAAAGGGACAGGCTCTTCATGATGCTATCTGATGACTCCTGAGCCTAGGGAAGAATTAATTGTATAATCTCTGCCTCCCTTTTCTTTGCATTTTTTTTTTTCCTGTGGGAATATGGGTACTTGGGACATCTCTGGGTGTTTCTGCATGGACAGGATATATTTCTCATTAAATTATGTGTTTCTATCCATGAAATAGAGACAAAGGTAACAACTATAATTTTTTTTTAATTGCTGAGAGTATTAGAGATGTCCCCCATTTTCCCCTATTTGCCCCCCTCTGCCCAGCTCCTGCCCCACCCCAGGACTTCACCTGTCTGTGTCCCTGGGCTATATATGCATAGAAGTTCTTTTATTAATCTCC